TGAAGATTTCTCTATTCAGACCTGGTACATAAAATTAAAATGGAGATTGAAGATTTCTCTATTCAATCTTGTACAAGGAAATATCATACCAAGAGTTGGCAGAGCAAAATAAAGAAAATTCCTCAGGAGTTGTCAACTGGGAAATTCAGAGAATGAAAAAGGAAGGCTGTTTCAAGCTTTTGAGCTGGGTTTATAGATGTTGAGTCTGATTTTTGTTGGTTGAGTTGTGTGTGTTTGCTGATGATTTCTCCTTCAATTTATAGAGAATGGAGGTCGATTGAGTGGACTAGCAGTCAATTTGAAGTACCCACTTGCCATTGGTTTTGGTGAGTGAGTTGCTCAAAATACAAGTAAACCCAAAAAAGTTGCTAAGAGACTTTGATGTGATTTGACAGAAGTTGTCACTGTTAGACTTAAAGAAATCCAAAGTATTAGTCCACTTGCCATTGATTGGTGAGTGATAGCCAAAAGTAGCTGACTAAAAGACAAAAAGAAATGTAGAGATAAGGACCACCATCTCTATTTCTTTCTTTATTCTTTAAGTCCACTTGCAAATTATTTTATCCTTCTTTCAACTTTGATGTAGACTTTTCACATGTATGTTGGGCTTTGGCTTTGTTTTAATATTCTTCATCACAGAGAATATTAAATTGTTTCCATCTACCACATCTTCACTTTATTCTTCTCTGAATCCACTCACTGGTGATGAAGTCCCTCCATTGATAAAGTGAAACTTGATTTGCAGCCACTGAGTTTCTCCTCTGAACATGCCTTGATGCGTAATAAACTGGGAATGCTAGGTTGATCCAATTGCTGTCAATTTCGGATATGTTGTTCTCCACACAAGTAGGAACAACATTGATGAAGAACTTAATTCCATTTGAGCAATAGAAAATCTGGTTTTAGCATGGTTACACCGGACTGGTCGTCACAGACTGCTCTAGCGAACAGAAATCATAATTAATGCCCCGAAGATTCAATACTTTTACAAATGACGCCAAATTCGGATATGTTGTAGTAGACATCCAAATGAACAACTTTCATGCAGAACGAATGTTCATTTGAGGACTGGAAGCTGGTTCGAATCGGGCCATAATTAGGACCGAATTGCCACTGTTATCAGCTTTCGCTGTTGCTGGTATGCTTCTGATCTTTGATGTCGTGAGGATTCCACATTTATCCAAATGATCCCAAATTTGGATATGTTTCGGTAGACATTCTAATGAGAAACTTTCATGAAGAAAGACAATTCATTAGAGCATTGGAATTAGGCCCGAATTGGGCCCGAATTAGGCCCGAATTGCTGCTGTTATCAGCTTTCGCTGTCGCTGTGCATCTGGTGTTTTCAGCTCTTAGGACTCCACATTTGTCCAAATAAACCCAAATTTGGATATGTTGCACTACAAATGATTCAGTGTCATTAAATTACCTCAAAAAAGCCAAGTACTTTGTTCGCATATATATATTTCCACATAAGTTCTCCACTGCATCCTTTAAATCTAACAGCTCACAGAACATAGCTTTCTAATTCCCTGCATCCATAATATATATATGTATATGTTATAGGAGTGACAACAACAATAACAATAATGATAGCAACTGCTTATTGAAACAATACAACAGAAGTATCACCAGCAACACTTAAAAGAATAACTACAGTACTAAATACTTGCAGCTTCCAACCTCAGACAGCAACTCACTGTCCAAATTGCGGCAAATTCCATATATTTTTACCCCAAACAAGCTTACACAAAATAAAATGCATTTACTACAAGTTCTAAGTATGAAACGCCTCCTTATTCACTATATACACAAGTATAGCTTGAAATAGCACATGGTAAGCACGCCACGGATAAATTACATAAACATATCTGTGATGATGAAGGTTATCCATGAGTTCTCTTCGGTTTCCTCCAATAACTTATTCAGTACACAAATAATTGTTCAAGGACTGTTTCCATCTGAAAATAAAAGGTAAACATAAAAACAAGACATACCATGCGTAGATGAGTGGAAGCCTATGATTTCCTCGGCATGGGGTGCCAGTTAACTGCAGTGATTGCTGGGGAATGCTTAAGGTCATCCCAAAGTTGAGCCTTGGTTTGCGCAATGGTTGCTGTAAATCCTTCTGGCATATTAGTTAACTTCAATTCGATCAGAGACTTTAGGTGCCTCAACCCACTTGGGACCTTCAGATTTGTGCAGGATCTTATCTCAAGCTCTCTTAGACTCTGCATTGCCTTTTCCTCCACATGCCAAACTTCAAGTTTTTCTAGTTCCACAACTTCAACACTACTAGTCGTGGAAAGCCTCCCGCAGAGCAAAGCATCTTGTTACCTGTGTAAGAGTTGGAGTAAAAACAGAGTAACTTAAGGTTAGAGAGTTTCTCTAACTCGGGCATTGGATCATCTGGAAGAAGAGAGGCTGACAAAGTAAGATCAGTGAGGTTTTTGGGGAACTCAGCCACAATGGGAGGAGCTAGCTTTCCA